TGCCGGGCAACGCGCCTGTGTGGGGCAGCCTTGCCTCGGGCGGTGGACCATCCTTCCTCTCTGGACACAGTAGCCAGTGGTGCGGAGGCCAATGCGCCCAGAAACCCAAGCCCCTGCAGTCTGTAGGCGGGGCTTTTGCCTCTCCCCGCCCCCAGGCCACCACCCACTGCGCGGTGGATCGATTGGTCGCTGGCCCATTAGCGGGGGGCGTCTCTCTGGCTCATCAATATTTTAAGGAATGACCTGGCCTTGGGGTCCGGAAATGCGCGCCAGCGGGGCTGGAGACCGGCTCCCCCCCCCCTTTCCAATTTTCGGTGCTATTTTTACCTGCGGAAAGCCGGCCGCCCCCTCCCCCGCCCGAGTGTGTGCGACGGGCAGCGTGCGACGGGCAGCGGGGCTGCGTATCCAGCCCAGCTTGGGGCCGGGGTTGTGGGCCGGGTTCTGGCCTTGGGATGAGGACTGGCCTTGGAAAGGCGGAGAGCAGGGACTGGATCAGGTTTCCTCCACCCCGCCCCTCCGAAGCCCCATCCCACCCCTCCGAAGCCCCATCCCACCAAGATGGGAACCAATACAAAAAGAGAAAAAGAAAACGGTTTTTTTCCGGGAGAAGAAGCCAGACAGCTCAGGCAAGCCTAGGAAAAGCTGGGGGCGACAGACTGGGGAGGGTGGTCTGCCGCCCACGCGCCCTGGGGCCAGCACCCGATCCCTGGAGCATGGCGACTTCCTTTGTCTCCAGTCCCAGCCCTCAGAGAGGAAACTGAAGGTGGGAGGGAACCCCAGCCGGTTCCTGGCTGCAGTGCAGTGACAGCTGGACCCCAGTCTTCGGTATCCAAGGGCCATGGCCTCTGCGTCAGAATCAGGAGCCCCTGCCACCGCTGGTCCCTCTTTACCAGAGGGGAAGCTAAGGCCCTGGGAGACACTGGGTCTGCCCCAGAGAGCCGGATCTCCCAGACTGGTTCAGCAGGCCTTTTCTGGCTCCCTGGGGATCATAGGAGGAAGGCTGGGACCTGACCACAGAAACCAGAGGGCTGAGGGCCGAGGGCCTTAGGGTTGATGGAGCTTGGGAGGGAGAGCCAGTGCAGGGCCAGCCCTGGAAGAGGAGAGAATTTTGCACAGTCGGAGGCTGGAAGAATTCGGGTAGCTGGAGGAATGACCTGGGCAGAACACAGGCAAAACTGGGAGGCTACAGGCCCAGGGAGCCCTAGGCCAGCTGAGTTCAATTCACAGACCTTCAAGGCCAGCCCAGACAGTAGGAGCAAGGGTGACAGTCCATCCTATCTCTGGTGCCTCTGGGTTCTCTGCCCCCTTGGACCCTCCTTTCTCCATATCTGGATCCACAGTTCCCTGCACAGTGATTGTTTGAATGTTACACTGGCTGGTCCCCTGAGTTGGATGGAAACACTTCTGGCCCCACCCAGAGGTCAGGGGAAACCACCCTGGCCTGCCTAAGCCTGCACTTGCTCAGAACATTGCAGGGTCCACTTCTCATGCTGCTCTTCTGGGGAAGGGGGCCCCCCATTTGCATTTGAGGAAAACAACCTCTGAGATTGGGGGTGTGGTCAGCATTTCTCAGGGAGCAGGAGGGTTAGGCCTTGAACCCAGGTCAGCTGCTTGGCATTCTCCCCAACTCTGGCCCCAAAGACAGTTAGGGACAGCACACCCTTACTCTAGCCATAGCCAGATCCTCTTCCCTGTGGTCTGCAGCCTCCCCTCTGTCTCCTATGGAGGAGAAACTGGGCCCCAGTTTCTCTATCTGTAACTAGGTGCAGTGCTCCTTGCAGACCCTGATGCTTGAGGACTTTTACCTCTGGCTACTTGACCCTTGCTTAGCCCCCAGGAACACAGAGGGCTGCTGGGCCCATGGGCTCCTGACCAGCCAGCAGTGTTGAGGAGGAGTGGTCGGGGCAGCCCCTACCCAGTGCCTTCCCACCAGATCCTGCTTTAGACATGACCACACCTGCCAAGAGCCTTGGCAGGGTCCTCTTCAAGTTCCACCCCTCCCCATGAGGGCCAGCTGCACCCACATGTGACAGCCTGCCCAGGGCCCTGTCCCTTGACTCCATCCCTTCTCCCTGGGGAGATTTTTCCCAGCCAGCAGGAAGAGTGGGAGGGACAGGGAACGGATGGCCCCTGCCTGCCCCACCGGCCCCACGTAGGGCTCACTTGCTTCACCTAGCCTTCCTGAGCCGCCCAGTTCCCTATTCTGACCCCTGTAGAGGTTTCAGTAGTACGGGGGAGTGTGGGGGAGGGGACATGGCCACTGTGGCCCTGGCCTGCTGGATATATGGATGGGCTTAGGGCCCTGGGACAGGGCCTTGTGGTTTTGGCTGCAGCCCACCCCCCAGGAAGTGCCCCTGGGGATCTGCCTCCCCACCTTCTCTGGAGGCCATGCTGACTGCTGGCAGGTGTGCTGCTGCCTCTGTCCCCAGGGGAAGGAGCAAGAGCCAGCCATCTGGGGTATGACCCAGGCCTGCCTTGGCCCTGAAGGAGKGCTTGTGCCAGGTCAGGAGACAGTSGGAGCACCCTGCAACTAGAACTCGCTGGAGAGACACACAGGAGGGGGCTGTGGAGCCCAGAGGAGCCACCTGTGCCAGCCTGGGCGGGAGAGGCCAGGAAGGGCTTCCTGGGGGAAGCAGCCCCTGGACTTGTTCTAGAAGAGTGAGTAGGAGTTATCCAGGGATGAGAGGAGGAGCAGCACGGCAGGGAAAAGGTCAGGCCTGAGCACTGACCCCCATTTTCATGGATTCAGCACCTCCACCCCCAAATCTAAAGCCCTGGTAAGTCCCACTGCAGCCATTGATCAGGCTGCAGATGGGAAGCCCAGACCTTCCTAACCTCCTGGCTCCCTCACCCCAGTACTGGGCAGGAGTCTCCCTGCCAGTTTGGAAACCTGTCCTCAGTACTTCCTCCCCAGGTGGGTCCTGTGGCTTGCGACTGCAAATGGAAGCTGACCCAAGGAGAGGGAATTCCCAGGGTGCCCTCAGCGCAGAGGCCCTGCAGGTGGTCCCCGGAAATAGGGCAGCCGTTCTCACCTGGCACTTAATTACAGGGCCCGGCTCCCCCGGGAGGCCTGAGATGGTGCTCCCCAGAGCTGGGAGAGAGGAGCATGCCAGGAACTGGGGGGATCCTGGGAGGGCAGGTGAGGACATGGCCCTCTGTCAGCCCCTTAGGGGGACAGTCCCTCCATCCCAACACCAGGCTGGTCCCTCAGGCGGGAGGGCCCCAGGGCAGAGCCTCAGCTCCTCACTTATTTTCCCTTAGTGATTTTCACCCTGGCCTGGAGGGGGGTGGGAGTGTGCACCTGGGCCTGGCCCCCAGGGAAAATGGCCACTTAGGAGGACCAGGAGGCAAGTCCCCACAAGTGACCGACTGGACATGGGGAAGGATGGCCTTGCTGGGCAGTAGGAAGGAAGCTGGGGAGGCAGCCGCTGGGATTCCTAGGTTGAGGATTCCTCCAGAAGGCTGGGCTTGGCCGGGAGTTCTGGAGGGGACAGCGAGAAGGCCTCTATGAGGGGAGTGGGACCTTCAATGCCCGTACACACGAAAAATGGCCCGTGCTCTTTCCATATAGGGAGGTGACCCCTGAGTCCCAGACTCATGAAGACCTGGATAAGAATTCTAGACCTGTCTTGTCACTGATAAGTCCTCAGGCCCCGTGTGGTGACAACTGTGACACCACGTGGTGTGCTGAACACGTTCATTTGTTCCTTCATTCCGTCAGTGTTGACTGAGCACCTGCTATGTGCCCAGTACTGGGGACAGCTACACTTAGACTTGCAGCACTGTCACTATCCCTGCCTTGTGGAACCTGCCTTCTGGAGGAAGAGGGCAGAGGAGGACACACAACCAGATGAGCAGACACATGCTATGTCAGGTGACAGTGCATGCCACGGAGACTCCAAACAGGCAAGGGGCACCGAGCGTCTGTGCTGGAGAGTGTGGAACATTTATTGTTCTCAATAGAGTGTCCAGGCCAGGCAGTGGGACGGAATGATATTAGAAAAACCCCAAAGGATGTGAGGGAGAGGACACTGAAGGCACAAGCAAAGGCCCTGAGGTGGGAGCCCAGCCAGCACACCTCCAGGATGGCAAGTAGGCAGGTGCCCGGAGCAAGCAGCAGGAGGCGGGTCTACAGAGGTAAATGCAGTACTGCTGCCAGGCCTGGGGAGCCGGGTAGGACTCTGACTTCTGCTCCCAGCCTTGGTCGGATTTGAGGGCAAAGGGACCAAATGTATCCTGTGTTTTAGAAATGGTGACTGGGGTCCTGGTGGAAAGCAGACTAGGGACTGAGGTCAKGCTCGCTGGACAGGTGAAGGCGCTCTGAAGTACTGCAGGCAAGGGAAAGATTTTTCTTTTTCTCCCCCTGAACTTGGGGTTGAACTTTGGGCAGCTCTACTGCTGAGCCACATCCCCAGCCCTTTTTATTTTTTATTTTGAGACACGGTCTTGCTAAGCGGCTGAGGCTGATCTCAAACTTGCAGTCTTCCTGCCTTGCCCTCCCAAGTCGTCACTGGAATTAGAGGCCACCATGCCAGGCTTGGGAAGGACTCRGAGGCCTGTGGAGGAGTGGCCAAGGGCTGGCTGGGTTCTCTGCTCATTTCAGAGGCAGAGCCAATCGGATTGTGTGTGACTTCTTCTTGCCCACCAGGCTTTGGGGACCTTAGAAGAGGTTACTGAGGAAAGTGAGGTCACTGAAGGCTTATAGGGGCCCCACTTTAAGGCATCTGTCACTCCAGCCTCCTCTGCAGACCACAGGAATGACCCTGGGGTTCCCTGAGATTGCTGTTTGGAAGGATATGAATGTGGGGGCTCCCTTCCCGGGGACACCACGTTGTCCTCGGTTTCCTTCGTCTTCACTCTTCCCTGCTGCTCTAGCAGCTGAGGGCAGCACCCCTCGGCACTCACATGCACAGCCTTGGGGAGCCYGGCTGCCCAAAGGAGGTGACAGATGGGCACACAGTTCAGTGGTCAGAAGGTCACTGCTGCTCTTGTCCCCACAGCTGCAGGGTACCGCGATGGGACGGGAGCCATGAACGGTGCCGACTCTGGCGCCGCCGCCGCTACCCCGGTCCCTGTCCCGGACTGGCGGCAGTTCTGCGAGCTGCACGCACAAGTGGCCGCCGTGGACTTCGCGCACAAATTTTGCCGCTTCTTGCGGGACAACCCGGCCTACGACACGCCCGACGCTGGGACCTCCTTTTCCCGCCACTTCACCGCCAACTTCCTGGACGTCTTCAGCGAGGAGGTGCGCCGCATGCTGGTGGCAGGGCCAGCGTCGCGGGGGACCCCTGAGCGCGCCAATGCCATGGAGCCTGAGCCCGTGGGGACCTCAGCGCTCAAGACTACTGCCTATGGCCACTCGCGGAGCTCGGAGGACGTGTCGGCGCACGTGGCGGCCAAGGCCCGGGTCCGTAAGGGCTTCTCCCTGCGCAACATGAGCCTGTGTGTGGTGGACGGTGTGCGGGACATGTGGCACCGGCGTGCCTCCCCTGAGCCTGAAGCTGGGGCCACCCCGCGGGCCGCTGAGCCCCCTGCGGAGCCACGTGACAAGTGGACGCGTCGCCTGCGGCTATCGCGGACTCTGGCGGCCAAGGTGGAGCTGGTGGACATCCAGCGCGAGGGTGCGCTGCGCTTTATGGTGGCGGACGATGCAGCCACAGGCCCCGGGGGCACCGCGCAGTGGCAAAAGTGCCGCCTGCTCCTACGCAGGGCGGTGGCTGGGGAACGCTTCCGCCTGGAGTTCTTCGTGCCACCCAAGGTGAGCTTCTCCCTGTACCGGGAGGATGGAGGAGGAGAAGGGCAGCAGGTCGGGCAGCTGCTGGCTGAGGACCCAGTGGTCTCATCAGATGGACAGGGTGGAGCCTGTGGTGCCAGGATGCTGGCCCAGCTCTGCCTCCTGGGTAAACCCCACCCTTCCTCTGTGAACCAGGAAAGGGAACCGMGCCTGGGTGCTAAGGAGCCTGCCTGGCCGCCTGTCCTCCTTTCCTCCTCACCCTGGCACCAGGGCAGGCACTGGTCAGCGAGGAAGCCTGCTGGATGAGGGACAGGCAGTGACAGAGCACACTCAGAGAGGGGCCCCAGGAGGCCTGCTTCTGGGCTGCCAGGATCCAGCCCTGCTCTGCCCAAGTGGCCCTTTTCCAGCCAGAGGAAGGCAAGGCTTCTCACTGGCGGTCACCACCTCTTGGGCGTCTCTGCTCACTGTCTGAGTGCACTGGCCCCTGGCCCTCTTGGGGACTGGCCATCAGAACACTGACGGTAGCTTGGGCCTTCTCCAAGTGGCAAGCCTGCTTGTTAGTAAAGTGGGAATGATTGTCCCCTGAGTACTCACTTCCTGAGATCCCACCATGTGCCCGGCCCTCAGGCTGGTGGCCATGTGCACATACAAGATGTCCTCTTCCCAGTACCCCAGTCAGGTGGGCACCTGGTCCCCAGGTCACAGAAGAAAACACAAACTTATTATACCCAGAAAAGGGGTGTGGCCTATCCCCAGTGGGTGGCAGAGATGGGCTAATTATACCCATCACCCTGGTGTTTGGGTTTGAAAGGAGTGGGGGTCGGGGTCCCTGGCACACAGGTTGAGCAGGTATAGAAACTGACAACACCCCTCGGGGGCCCACGCAGGCTCCTGGCCACCCCAGGGCCCGCCTGAGTCTCTTGGGAACTCAGCATACCCCTCCTAGAAGTGCAGGTGCGTGGGCTCCCGAGGACAGGTGCTCATGAGTCACAGGGCTCTAGAGAGGTGACTTCCCTGAGACACTCTGAAGAGCGTCTCCCCAAGTCCCAGAACTCCCAGGCTTCACAAGGACTCTTTGCCAGTCCCCTTAGGTCCCTGAGAGAAATCATAGCCACTAAGCCCAACTCCACCCCTTGGCAGACAGGGAGACCAAGGCCTCGTGAGAGGTGGGGCTCACTCAAGGTCACCCAGAGGGCAGGGACAGAGGCCCAAGGCTTTACCCCCTCCACCCCTGAGTGGCAGTCACAGCTGTCTGTCTGTAAATAGCTGTGTCTGCTGCCCTGGGGGAGGGGACGCAGCAGCTGGTGCCCTCTGCCTTGGTCTCTGCAGAACCTGCCAGCTTTACCACTGTCAGAAGGCAGGTTCCTGAGGGCTTACAGGACCCTTCCACAACCTCTGAGGAAGGCCAGCGTGTTTCTACCCCATAATGTCTTCCTCATCTTCACACAATCATTGGAACATATCTTGGTATTTGGGAGTGCTCCCAGGGGAAGGGTGGATCACACCAGGGGGCATTTTCTGTTGCTATAATAAAATACCTGAAGCTAGATATTAGATAAAGAAAAGAGATTTCTTCTTCCCAATTTTGGAGGCTGAAAGTCCAAGAGCAGGAAGCTCCACGTTTCCGGTCTGTGCTGAGGATCTTCTTGGCCTGTCACAACACGGCAGAGAAGGCAAAAGGGAAATGGCTGCATGCCGGGAAGGCCAAGTTTATGGAGCAATCAATCTCCCTCCTGGAACAGTGCCAGGGGCCCTGGAGACTACATTAACCTCTTCCCAGGGCAGTGCCCCCAGTGACCCGCCACCTTCCACCAGACCCCAATTCTTAAAGGTCCCACTGCCTCCTGATAGCGGCAGAGTGGGGACCCAGCCTCCAGCACAGGTCCCCTTGGGGAGCAAACCACGTCCAAACCCCAGACATGCTAAGGGCTCAGGTTGGGTTTTCTAAATGTGTCTGGCCACAGGGTGGAGGAGCACCCAGAGCACCCCTGCTGACACCCCACTGCTGGGCCACCCCCCAGGTCTGCATCTCCCTTCACCTCTGGGCACCGGCTGCACCTCAGAGCAGTCGGGAGTGTGGGGTCTGCCGGCGCACGGCCTGAGGTCTTTAGACCCCCTGGCACACAGCCCTTGGTGTCCCAGCCCAAGTCTCTGGCTTCCTGCCCTCTCGTCCCAGCAGGAAGGGTCTCTAACCCCAGGTCCCCTCAGCCCTACTCCAGGCCAGACTTACGGACCCAAGAAGCAGTGGGGCTGGCCTCTGCCATTGGGGGGCCACCAGGAAACCCACATTTGCAGGCTGGATACAWACTTTAATAGAGTGAGCTCCTGGGGCCCCTGGGAAAGACACTGGAGCTGCCCAAAGGGGGACAGGGACAGGGCGTGAGCTGAGGGAGCCAAAGACAGTGGGGAAGGAGCACAGGAGTTCTGGCAGGACCAGCTGCCCCAGTACAGCTGGCCCCAGGTGCCAGACCAAGGGACCACAGTGCCTCCCGCCAGCAGGAACCTCCACTGCCCTTCCCACCCCATGACCACCAGGACCCCCAGCCCCACTGGCTACTCTGATGGCCTGAGACCCTGCCCAGCCGAGCCCCTGGGTCATGGCTCCCAGCCCAGCCCTGCAGCCACTGGACGGTGGCCAGGCCTGCCAGGAATTCCCTGCTGYCTGCCCACCGAATGTGTGGTCTTTCCCTTTCCTCCTAGAAAGTCCCTGTCCTAGAGCCCGAACCCTCCGGGAATCCCAGTCCCAGGTCCAAGGCCACGGCCAGGAGCTTTGGGGCAGAGCACACAGAGCCAGGCACCTAGAGAGCCTCCCAGGGAACCTGCCAGCGCCCTGAGTCCCCCTGCAGTGGCACTGGGAACACTAGTCTCTTTTACCCACAGCCGGGGACAGGGCCCTGCTCTGCTCCAGAGCCCTGTTCTGAGGCAGGAGCGCTGAGCCAGCTCCTCACCTGAAGCAGGAGGCCAGCTTTTCTTCTTTGTTTGTTTGTTTTTAATGAACTAGAAGAGAATAGAAAACACCACATTCCATCAGACGCAGGGCAAATATCGCCCAGTGGTACGCTGGTTTCAGATACTTTTACCTGGGTAGGTGCGTGCTGGGCGGCAGCGTCAAGTGCATTTCTTACTGTGGGTCAAGGTCAAAAATGGGAAGACCGCAGGTCTGGAGGAGGTGTGAGGCGGGGGGCAGCCCAGGTGGGGCTCACCCCTCCAGACCTGTGGGTCGGAGGCTCAGATGTCAATCTCAGTCCAGTCCCTGACTTGCTGCATGACCACAGTGGGACATCCCTCAACTTTCCCATCCGTGAACTGGGGACTAGGACACCTTTATGACAGGGTGGCCACAGCAGTTCCATGCTGGGGACTGCTCTGATCCCCAAGAGCTAGGAGAGGTAGAGAGGGTGTCGGGAGGCCCTGGGGCAGCCCTGACTGACCTTTCCCCTGGCCTCCTAGGCCTCCAGGCCCAAGGTCAGCATCCCTCTGTCGGCCATCATTGAGGTCCGCACCACCATGCCCTTGGAGATGCCTGAGAAGGACAACACGTTCGTGCTCAAGGTGAGGCCCCGCCCTGGTCCTGAAGATCCTCTGCCTGCCCAAGACCACCTCCCTCCTGGGTGGCCAGCTGAGGGCAACGGGGGGAGGAAGCCCCTGGGACAGATGTCTCGTACCTACCCAGGACCCGAGTCTGGGGCTGGGCTCTGGGTAGGTAGGTAGGTGGCCGGGCACCAGGGGCCATCTGGACCCCGTCCCATTTCCTCCGGGCCTGGGTGAGTTTCACTTCCTCCCCTCCCTTCCTTGCTGGAGCCAGGGCACATGCACCCCCCAGGCAGAACTGGTGGCCAGCTTGCAGCAGTTATGCAAATGTTCCTGTCGCAGGGCACTGGAGTGTGGGAACCGGCCTGGGCCCACAGAGGGCACAAAGGCACTGCGGGTGGCGGGAGGCACCCCATCCTTTTCCCAGGCCCCACCTTCCCTGGGGTGGCCTGCTGGTCTACTGAGGACACGGCTCTGGGCTGCCAGGGCTGCGGTCCCTGTGCCTCCTGGAAGGATCAGAGAGTGTTTGTGAGGCAGAGTCCCCAGGGCTGCCCGGTCCCACCCACCCAAAGCCACATGAAGCCCCCACCCTCTTCTCCAGGCCCCGGGGGGGGGGTGTATTTACCCACCCACCCCTGTGTGTTTAGTCACGAACTCACTAATGCATTGGGCAAACATCTTCCCACCCTGTACCCTGAGTCACCCCAGGCTGGGGGCTGAGGACACAGCCCTTGCCCATCTGGCATTCCCATCTGCGGGGTGTCTGTCCCCTGTACAAGCCCTGAAGCGGAGGGACTTGCCTGCCAGCTCCATGGTGGTACTCGGTTTCCCCGTATGTTCAGAGAGAGATTAAAGAAGGGTCTCTGGGGACCCTCCCAACCCAATATTGTATTTTTACAGAGACAAAAAAGCCAAGAGCATGAGGCCTGGGCAACCCAGAGACTTGGGTTAAGGTCCCAGCACTATCACTGATTGCTGGGTGACTTAAGCAAGTTATTTGGCCTCTCTGAATCTCAGTCATCATCATCTATAAAATGGGGACAAGCCAGGCATGGTGGCACACAGCAGCAATTCCAGCAACTCGAGAGGCTAAGACAGGAGAATTACAAATTTGAGGCCAGACTGGGCAATGTAGTGAGACCCTGTCTCAAAATAAAAAATTTAAAGGGCTGGAAAATGGCTCAGTGGTAGCATGCCCCTGGGTTCAAGCCCCACTATTGCAATAAAATACATTAATAAAATGGGGACAGGACATCAGCCCCCAGCCATGGAGCTGGTGGAAGCTTATCCTATGAGCTGTGGGGTAGATCACACTAGCCCTAGCTCTCACAAGGGCCCTCTGGAGATGACTTCTCTGGGGAGTGTGGCCATATTGGTAAAGTTCCAGGTGCAAAAGCAGGGGAGCCCCTCAACTCAGCATGCTGGGGGTCCAGGCCACGTCCTTCCCCAGCCATCCTGGCCTCCTTGAGGCTACAGCTCCAGGGCCTGAGGACATCAGGTCCATGGAGCTGGGCTGCACCCCTGGGGCCCTGGCCTGGGTTTGGGCTGGTGCCTGGTGATGGCCCCACTGTCCTCCTGCCTCCTCACTCCCACGAGTCACAGGCACATTCATCCTGGGTCCGGAGCCCCCTGCCAAGGGGAGGGAGGCTGGCGCTGGCCCACAYCCTGACGCCCTCTTTCCCAGGTGGAGAACGGAGCCGAGTACATCCTGGAGACCATCGACTCCCTGCAGAAACACTCCTGGGTGGCCGACATCCAGGGCTGCGTGGACCCTGGGTGAGTGCTGGAGTGGCCCCAGGAGGGGGACAGGCTGGGCCTTCAGTCCTGACCGCACAGGGAGCAGCCTCTAGAGCAGGGCAGGAGCTAAGCTCCAGAAATGGGCTTCGCTCATCCTAGTCCCCTCCAGGTGGGTGCCAGCCAGGCTCCCCATGCCCTGACCCCATCCTGACCACCTGTGGGCTCTTTGGGGCCTGCTCTGGAGGGCCAGGGTCTAGGGACCTGGAAGGATTGGCCCACGTCTTGTCTTCACCTCAGGGGAGCCTCCAACTACCAAGAGATGGGCCGTGATGAGCCCCGGGGGCTGGGAGAAACCCCTAACCCAGCCCCAGCCCGGGAAGGCCTGTGGTAAAGGTGCTCGCCTAATCAGCTGCTTAGCTGAAGAGCAGGCCTGAGCCCGCAGACGGGGTGAAGAAAAGCAGAAAGAACAACCCAGCAAAAGGTGTCCATGTGTACCAAGAGCCTGGGACTTGGAGGGGCTGTTAAGACCTCCAGGATGGCTGGTGCAGGAGGTTCTCATGAGAGCCCAGGAAGCTAGTAGGTCAGGACAGAAGGGAGCCATGGCGGGTCATAAGCAGGGAGCAGCTCTGGTCAGCTGTCCAGGTAGAGCAGCAGGGAGACTGACTCCACCATCTAGGAGAGATCCCGAGGCCAGGAGCAGGAGGGGCAGGCCAGCTGAGGGCCGCGCACTTGGCAGCGCTCTTCTGGCTAATGGGGTGAGCCGCCCTGGGGGAGGGGCCGCTGCTTTCTAATTAACAGCTTCATTTAAGGAAGCACAATTAAAGTCCTGAGTGCCTCCCAGGCCCTGATCCCCAAAGTGGCTGTAATCCCTCCCCTGCCACCCTGCCCGCCATCTGCTCTGCAAACTCCTTCCTGGCCTTCTCTCTTTACAGAACTGAAGAGCTGGGAGGGCCCCAGACACCTCACTTTACAAATGGGGAGACAAAGGCCTTGGGGGGCAAGGAAGCTGACCAGGCCCCGCCCACCACCAAACCCTTATTAGGGGGCAGGAGGCATGCAGCCTCAGGGGGCACTGTACCCACTTGGTGGCCTCTAGTCAGTCATATGGTGGCCACAGAGCCAGCCTAGGGTGAGGCTGGTCATGTGACTGTCAGCCGCTGCAGGGGCAGCTGGGGTGGGTTCAGGTCCCGGCAGGACACAGCTGTGCTTTCTCAACTCCACAGCGACAGCGAGGAAGACGCCGAGCTGTCCTGTGCCCGGGGAGCCTGCCTGGCCAGCCGCGTGGCCTCCTGCAGCTGTGAGCTCTTGACAGATGGTAGGAGGGGGCAGAGCTGAGTCACAGGTGACAGGGTGGGAGGGCTGGCGGCTGGGGGTGACAGATAAAGGAATGCGCTTCTCACCTGCTATTCTCCCAGCGGCAGACCCACCCCGACCCCAAGGACCCCAAGACACAGCGGCAGCTGTGGGCGCCGTGGTGACAGCCCCACACAGCCGAGCTCGAGAGGCCGTCGGAGAGTCCCTGCTCCATGTCCCACTGGAGACCTTCCTGCAGACCCTGGAGTCCCCCAGTGGCAGCGGCAGTGATGGCAATAATGCAGGTACCGTGGCAGCTGGCTCTCCTGTCCCTCCCCTCCTGGTCCCTGCCCTGGCCACGGGGACCTCTGGGTACCCTGTGGAGCCCTTGCTGAGCCTCAAAGCAGTGCCATTTCTTCCTGCTGGTCCACAGCAGTTCTGGGTTTTGTTGGCACCTGGCCCTTTCCATTGGGCCTGGTTTCCATAGAAGATGCTTATGGAATGGGGTGCAGAGGGTTGGAACTGTGGGGGGACAGGGGACTTGATTTGTTCCCAGGTTGGTTGCCGACTTGCAGAGGGACCCAGCCCTTGCCCTCTGCTCTCAGTTCACCTTGTACTGATACCTGATGGGGGATCAGCTCCCTGCCCAGTTCTAAAATTAACCAAGCAGCATTTTACCAAAACCAAAGCGGCTGCCTCTCCTCTCTGGCTTGCCCCGCCCTCTCCATCACCCTCACACTGTTGCTCCTCAGGGGAGGAAGGAGCCGCTGAGCAGGATCCCGAGGCTAAGCCAGAGCTGGAGCTCTCTGACTACCCCTGGTTCCATGGGACGCTATCACGGGTCAAGGCTGCTCAGCTGGTGCTGGCAGGTGGACCCCGGAGCCACGGCCTCTTCGTGATCCGCCAAAGTGAGACTCGGCCTGGGGAGTACGTGCTGACCTTCAACTTCCAGGGCAAAGCCAAGGCAAGTGTGCATAGGAAGCCACGGGGTAGAGCGACCAGCCTGGGGCAGGTGCCGAGGTGGCCCTGGTTGTGAGGCTTAGGTGTGGCATGACTTTCCACAAATCAGGCTCACTCCTGCCTATAGGGAAGCCACCTGTTGGTGACAGGGCACCTAAGGCCAGGCCCTTCTGAGAACCAATTTGGCAAGTCCTTTGGGCACCTGTGCACTGGGGATCACACAGCAYCTGGGCTCCTGAGGGCTTCCACCCAGAGCCACCTGGATGCAGGGCTGGGGCTAGCTGAGGCCCTCATGGTCGCGCCCCGACAGTGCCTCTTCCCGGCTCTGGTCACTTTACCAATCCCTCCTGGACCTGGCCTGTGCTCAGACAAGTGAGGGGAAGGAAAGTGCAGACCGGAGGGGAGGTGCTAGGCGGGGCAGGAGGGCTGCATAGGCCTAGGGGGCAGAGCAGGGGACCCTGGTCTGAGGTGTGCAGAGGGTGAGAACTGCTGCAGCAGAAACAGGAAGGTGACCAGACAGGGCCTAAAGTGAGCAGAGGTGTGCCACCCAGGAAGGGACCATGGGCCATGATGACCTATGAGGCCAAGAAAAATATGGCAAGAAAAGTCACAGAGTGGGCAGGAACCTCCGTGCCCCCCGCCCCCACCAGACTCGTGTTTCTGATAAGGAAGCAGCTGCAGCCCTGGCTCCTTCTAGGACGTGATTTCCCGTCAGTCCCTGCTGCAGGAGGGGGTGCCCTAGGATTCCAGGTCTGCAGCTGGTGGTCATTGTCTGTCTGCTGGCCCCAGCTGGCCCTCCAGTGACCTCCAGGCCTCTCTCCTGGGCAGCCCCTTGCCTGATACCTCCTTGGAAGGCAGCCTGCCTTAGCAGGTCTTCTGACAGCCAGGCGCTTAACACTGTCCCCAGAGGCTCACAGGTCACTTGGTGGCCAGCACTCCTCCACGGAGGGCCTGGATCCTGCACATGCCTAAGCCAGGGGTTAGGATGGGGCCCGGCCCACCAAGCAGCGTGGAGGGGGAAATAGGATGGGCAGGAGGCAACCTTGTATCTGCCTTTCCCCTCTGGCTGGCTGCCATTCCCCCAGAGTGAAACTGACCACTCTAGGTCTTAGTGGCAGCTAGAGCAGGACCCTCCACTGACACAGAGAAGGAAGAGCACTACTGTCCCCTAGGCAGCTCTTCCCCTCAGAGAATAAACGACAGAAGAGTGAGAAGCATCTGCCTTGCTTCCACCTGCCTCTGGGGCCCTGCTCTGCCCTGGGCCTCTGCCCAAGAGGAGGCTGAGGTGGGACCCACTGGGCTTGGAGGAAGTGCTCCCAGCTTTGTGCTCTGTGACTGGGCGAGCCTCTCCCCCTTCCTGTTTCCACATCTCTAATATGGAGGCAATGATCCCTACCTCCTGGGATTTGGGAGGGAGATGGGATGTGAAGGGCAAGGGCTCAGGCACAGAGTGGGTGCTCTCAGCCTGGCGACAACTCTTCAGTCCCAACCCAGCTCTGTTGCTCCCCTCCACCACTTACACCACAGGAGTGGCCCCACCTCCAGACCGGCCTCAGGTGTGAGAAGCACTGGGGTCCGTCTCACTGAGACTTAGTCCTCCAACAACCCCTAAAGGCACTAGACAAGCAGGTGACCAGCCCAGGACCCTGCCACTGACCACCTGCCTGTGTTCACAGCATCTGCGCCTGTCCCTGAATGGCCACGGCCAGTGCCATGTACAGCATCTGTGGTTCCAGTCCGTGCTTGACATGCTCCGCCACTTCCACACCCACCCCATTCCCCTGGAGTCAGGGGGTTCCGCTGACATCACCCTGCGCAGCTATGTGCGGGCCCAAGGCCCCCCACCTGGTAAGATGCCATCACCTGGCCTGTGTGATCCCTTAGGAAGACAAGCAGGCAGGTAACTACCCAGCATGGTTAGTCCCTGACCCAGAGTGTCAAAGGCACTCCCTCCCCTAGCCCGACCATAGCCTTTGTGAGCCATGGGGGGACGGGGGTGGGGGGTGGGGACATCAGAAATCAAGATAGGGAGGCAGCCCCACAACAAATAGGTCCCAGACCCCTGGCAAGTGGAGAGAGTGCTCAGGGGCAGCACAGGTGGGTTTTCTGGAGTTCTGCATGGGCTGGGGCTCAGCACGCAACTCTTGGGAGAAAGCACTAGCTGGGTGGTGTAGGGGGTGTCCACATACGCAAGAGGGGTACGCTGCCTGTGTYCGTGCATCGCCACTTGCACGGGGCCAGTGTTCAAAGGTGGACACCTAAAGCAGGGCCCTGGGTCCCCGTGCATTCCAGGGCCACACGGCCCAGCCAGGAACTCTGCACACCTGCCTGTTTGGCCTGGGCCGGGAAGGGTGGGGCGTGGGTGCCTCGGGCTGGGCGCTGACGCCACGCGACCTCTCACTGCAGACCCCGGGCCATCGCCCAGCACCGTGCCCGCGCCCTCCGCCTGCTGGACCGAGTCAGCCGGCCAGCACTACTTCTCCAGCCTGGTCTCTGCCTCCTGCCCTCCCGCCTCGCCCTCCGATGCGGCTGGTGCCTCGTCCTCGTCCGCCTCGTCGTCCTCAGCAGCGTCGATTCCCGCGCCCCCGCGCCCGGCGGAGGTCCCGCTGAGCGCGCGCAGCCGCAGCAACAGCGCCGAGCGCCTGCTGGAGGCCGCAGTCGGCGCCCCCGATGAGACCCCGGACGCGGCGCCGGGCCGCGCGCGCGCCGTGGAGAACCAGTACTCCTTCTATTAGAACCGCAGCGCGCCGCCACGCCCCCCGCGGACGCCACGCCCCCGGCGGCCCGGCCACGCCCACTGGCCCCAGCCTAGCGCTGGTGGGAAAAGCGAAGCTCTTCAGTGAAGACATAATGTTATTAAAGAGCCTGTTTTAGGGACTGCAACCGGCTCTCCTGTTGTCCTTTCCGCTGCGCTGGTCTCCCTTTCCTCTGGAAAGCGGCTCCCTCCATTCAGGGACCGTCGCAAGGCCACACAGGCTAGGTGGAGCCCACCGCGGCCTGGACTCTGCCAGCCTCGCCCTGCTGCCTTAGGGAGCCTACTGAGATAAGCAGCCGGCTGGGAGGGTCAGGACTGGGGAAGGGGCCTTAGTGGAGCTGTGAGAGAGGAGGGGACAAGAATGTGAGGGTGCCAGAGGAAAAGAGACGCCCTGAACGGCGGGGCCGGGCCAAGTCCCCGGTGCCTTGAATGCCAGGTTGAGGAGCTGAGCCCTGGTTGGCAGAGTAGGGTGTCCTTGCACAGGTCAGTAGAGGCCTGAAAGTGTGGACAGGGTCAGGGGCCAGGGTTTCTCCTTGTTAGCCCCTTGGGCGATTGGACAATGAGAGGCTGAATTTCCCAACTCTGACCCAAACTCAAACTCGCCCCCACCCACACCCTGTGCCTTTCCTCAAGAAAGCCAGGGCTGGAACTCTGTGTCCCCAGCCTTGGGTGGTGTTCCCTCTGTGAAAACTCCTATTCCTGCTGAGTCAAAGCCCACATCCCCTCCCCCAATCCCAACTGGTGACCTGGAACCCCAGGAGAGCCTTGTAGGACCTGGGCCATGATGTGCATAGTAGTGGACAGAAGCCACCTTGGGCTGGCTCCAAGGTTTTGCTGCTTCAGCTACCAGAACAGCACCTTCGGCTGCCACTGTGGCTACAAGGAGGCCAAGGTCTGGGCCACCTCAGCTTCCAGCATCTCCATCCACTGTGGACGGAGCCCCCTGTCCTGTCCCCTGGTGGTTTGGGGCCTATATGAGGCCAAGTGCAAGCCCCCATCTCACCCCAGCAGGAGCAGAAGATCTGGCTGACGCTCAGGCTGAGCAGAGCAAGGAGAGAGGTGCAAGCTGTCCGGCTGCCTCTGCCTCGGTCAGCCAGGGCCTCCTGCACGTCCCTCCCTCCTGGCAGACTAGACATGGTCCCCAAACCTGAAGCGTCCTCCTCACTCTCAATGGATGTGGCCCTTTGGAAGGGTTCTGAGGAAGCCTCAGGAGTGAAAAGTTGACCTGCAGGCCCTCCTGATATAGCCAGCCATGGCAGAGTCCCATGGTAAGTGACCAAATAGGAATCTGGGCACAAAGGCATGTAACCTTTGCACAATCAGAGCCCCTAAGGATGGCATCCAGGCTCTGTTCCTGTGGCGCTCCTTAAGTGAATTCAGGGAACAACTCTAGGAAATGACAAGGTGACCCTGGCCCTCCTGAAGGATGCGCCTGGAGGGTAAGCACCCGAACGACAAGTAGAAAGGGCCTCTCTTCTCTGCAGTGTGCCGCAGGGACAGACCTCGATTCTGTCACTCAATCTTGTGCTTCTAGAAAGCCCAGACTCAACGGGGCTCTAGGGAAATCACAGCAGTCGCACAGATGGCAACAGCCTCTCTGGGGTGGCATCRTGTGCTCCTCAACCAGCGTTTGGGATGCCCGCTCTGTGCCAGAACTGTGGGGTAGCCGGGAAGGCCGCCAAGCAGGCCCATTGCCTATGTGATGGGCAGTGACGGAGGTCGGGCCATGCCCTGGGACCACAGGAGCCCCAGCTACCGTAAAAGCACTTGGCGAGGGAGGGGAGGGCTGCAGGCACAGTGATGGCATGAGCCCTGAATGCCAGGCTAGGGAGGAGAAGGCGCTAGGCAGCTGGCGCCAGTTAGAAATGGGAGCTGAGATCCCCCTGGGAGGCCAGGGGCAGGGAGTCTGGGTGAGAGATGAGGGGCTGGGCCACAGTAGCAGAGGAGGAAGGTCATCAGCAGAGTGGCTGGGGGTGGCGGAGAGTTCCTCCTGGTGGAGGACTGGACTGCAGGAGCCAGGGGACGGCCCAGGATCACACCCACCATTGGCTGTTGGTCTCCTACTCCAAGGTCAAGAAACTTAGGCACTGCAGTTTCTATCCTCTCCTGGGAGGGACCCTGGAGCCACAGGCAGGTCTAAGTGAGGACTTGTGGGCTCACTGAGCTGACTGAAGGTGACTCAAGAGTGCAGGGTCTCCCTGGGAGGACATCCAGGCCTGACCACATGGAGCGGTTTTCCCTCCCTCATCCCCCCTCAGTCAGACCAGGAAGTGGGAAAATGCTCTACTTCCTGTTGTCCTGTGAGGCTCYTCCTTCTCCAAGTGGATCATTCCCCCGTGGGAGCCCAGGTACCTAGGGAAGGGTCCATACCTGTGCCTTGCCACCAACATGGAAAGTTGACCATTTTATGGCCCTGAAAGTGCCTACAGAAATAGAATTGGCATRCCAGCAGTGGTGGAAATAAACAGTTGCCTCTGGCAGGCACTGCTAACACAGGCAAGTCAGAGCCCGTTTGGAAGAGAAGTCAATTTCCAAGGACCCAGAGGGGCTCCGATGTGCCTAGCAATGAGATTGCCAGGAATCCAGGCCCGGTGGGGCACACCTGTAATCTCAGCGACTCCAGAGGCAGAGGCAGGAGGATGGTGAGTTTGAGGCAAGCCTCAGCAACTCAGTGAGATCCTTGGCAATATATTATTATGTTGTATTATATAATACAAAATAATCTCCAAATAAAAGAAAAAAGGGGATGGAAATGTAAGTCAGAGGTAGAACGCAGTACCACAATAACTAAATMGATGATAGATAGGTAGATAGATACGAGACAGGGAAGGCAGATTTTGAATAATTAATCTCAATCATTCTCCCAATTTTTTTTTTTAATACCAGGGATTGAACTCAGGGGCACTTGACCACTGAGCCACATCCCCAGCCCTATGTTGTATTTTATTGAGAGACAGGGCCTCACTGAATTGCTTAGCACCTGGCTTTTGCTGAGACTGGCTTTGAACTGGTGATCCTCCTGCGTTAGCCTCCTGAGCCATCTCCCAAAATGCTTTCTAAGGCATAATAAGGTGCATCTGGCCAAAACTGCAACCYTGCAGGTAGAAAGTTTCCTGTGGTGTCCAACTCTCCCCCAAAATGCTGTGGGCCAGGGGTTCCTGGTCTCTTTTGTGATTCAGTCCTGCTCAGAATAATGTTTAATATGCAATAAAATATAAATGGACTAGCAGAGGAAAGCAATTCTAATGAAATTCAGTCAAACTATTAAATAAAACAAAAAGGTTCAAAATATTTTTAAAATGTTTGATATGATAATATACCTGTTTCTTTTTTTAAATAGCAAAACTCTAACTCAAAGTGGTTCTCATGACTTGTAATTTCAAATACGATGAATGTGAACAATACTTCAGAGTTTCTGCAACAACCAAGATGTGGTATGACAATATCTCCGWTTCCTTATTGGTGGCAAAGTGACAGGTGCAGCTACTAATGATGTGGTTTCTCCTTAAATGAAAGAAAATGTGATTTTTTTCAGTTGGAGGTTAATTAAAAGAAGTAGGCTGGGGTGTAGCTAGGTGAYGGAGTGCTTGCCTGGCATGTGTGAGGCCCTGGGGTTTCCATCCCAGTACTGCAAAAATAAATAAATAAATAGGTAATTGTATTCCCAGTCAAGTTCATGGACTTCCGAATTGTATCTGTGAACCATCTCAGGGCCCCCAAGTAAACAACCCTGCTTTAAGCAATGGATAAAAAATTGAAAATATTTGAAATAAAATGCTCAGAAATGCAGAGAGCCGGGTGTCATGGCGCACATCTGTCATCCCAGCGGCTCGGGAGGCTGAGGCAAGAGGATGGCGAGTTCAGAACCAGCCTCAGTAATTTAGCAAGGCACTGAGCAACTCAGTGAGACCCTGTCTCTAAATAAAGCATAAAAAGAGTTGGGGGTGTGGCTCAGTGGTTAACCGCCCTTGGGTTCAATCCCTAGAACTAAAAAAAAAAAAAAAAAAAGGAAAAGGAAAAGAAAGAAAAAACAAATGGCAGAGAGTCGATGATATGAGGACTCAGCCATTCACCATCAAAAGAAAAGCCCTGGGCTGGGGCTGGGGCTTGCTGGAGCGCTCGCCTAGCATTGAGGAGACTTTGGGTCCCATCCCTAGTACCATAAGAAAGAAAAGAAGAGCCCCATGCTGCCTCCCACCTGACAATCAGTGGCAGGCTCTGCAGCCTCCTGATTCTACTTGACACAATCAAGACTCTAGATCTTGCCAAACAAACTGGAGAAGGACGCAGGTCGTAGAGGTGAGAGGAGGCCTGATTTCTCACTGACTTGGATGGCCTTGTTTGGAGCTCAGTGAAAAGAGCTCATTAAAAGAAAAAAAAAAAAGTGAAGGTTTTATGCCCACCTAAAAACGTATGTGTTATAAGTTGGACACAACTTAAAACATGTGTATACACATACAGTAAAACGTTAGTTTGGAGTGTTTTAAGTTGGTCATGGTATTATCAACTAATTAAGATTAAAATTTGGTGCTTGTGCCAGGTGCAGTGGGCACATGCCTGTAATCCCAGCAGCTCAGGAGGCTGAGGCAGGAGGCTCTTGAGATCAAAGCCAGCCTCAGCAACTCAGTGAGACCCAGTCCCTAATAAAATGTTTAAAAAAAAAGTGTTGGGAATATGGCTTAGTAGTTGAGCACCTCTTGGTTCAATCCCCCATATCAAAAAAAAAAAGAAAAAAAAAAACTCGCACCATGCTCAGAAGACTTCCAGAAGAGTGTTCGCTATTTCTACTGCAAAAACCTAGAAATAATCCAAATATCCACTGGTAGAAGGAAGGGCGAATACATCAAGATGTATTTATATAATGAATACTTCACAGCAATGAACATGAACTACAGCCATGCCCATTGCCACAGATAAAGCTCACAAAAAGATAGATAAATAGATAGATAGATAGATAGAGCAAAAAAGCAAGTTTATAAAAGGACACATTATGTTATTCCATTTTATATAGTTCAAAAAAGTCAAAACTAAACACTGTATTGTTTACATGTGTATGCACATATAGTAAAACTGTGAAACAGATAAGTTGGCGAACATGAAGTTTAATAGTTAATATAG